CACATAACTAAATTTCTACTTTTATAGAGGCAAAATTTATCCAGGTCTAACAGGATATTTGCTAAAATATGAGTACCTTCTTGCAAGCAGATGATTGAAGCATATATATGTATTCAAAACTAGTTTTGTCTTTGGCTAGAGACAGGCCTATGTGTTGTATGCATACGCACACATAATTTGACTTGCTAGACTGTAGACAACATAAGCAAAGATGCCCCTCCCATTAACTCAAAGGGCATTGATATTGCATACCCAGTACAATATTTGCCCTTTTTGCCTTTCAAATATTAATCATCAGTGTACCATAAGATTTCATCATTAACCAAAGAAGTTTCTTTCAGGTCCTCATGAGAGATCAGGCGTTTGAGCTGATGAGTATAGTCAGAAAAACCTAGCTATGTTAAATCCTTCAGCAAACCTATGAGGGTCTTCAGTTTCCTTAGGAAACTGGCTCTTCAGTCCAAGGAACTTACAAGATCTGAGATTTGTCTAATCATCAGAAAGCTTAAGTTTAAATGGATAAATCAGAATGAATTCTGAGAGGGAGACTCAAAAGAAAGCTCTGTAAAAGGGGATAGTTCAGAAAAAGAAGTGGACTGGGTAGACTGAGGTTCTGGAAAGGAGGTAGGTATCCTAGCAAAGGAGGACAAAGCTGGTGTGAGAAGCAGGGACTGCAAACCTGTCTGTTGTTGCTGCAAGTCCAGAGAAGGATGAATAGGGGAGGAGAGAGAGACTAAAAGACTTGAGGAAGTCTTTTAAATCTTTTTTGTTTGCCTCTGTAATTTGAAAATTTTCCTTCACCAAAAGACTGACTTTTGATAGCATTTTGAGGCCTCCAGATGCCAACTGAAATAGGTTTTCCATTCAGTTGTAGTACTTAGAGATCCATGGCTGTCCAATACATTTTTAAGAAAACCAAGTTTGGGGGCCTCCCCGGTGGCACAGCGGTTGAGCACTGGCTTGTGAAGCTGCCCACAGCCTCTGCAGCACCGGTTCCATCCCCAGCCGCCGGGTAACGGTCCCACATGGCACACGGACCTCTCCTGCCACCTGCTGCTCCCCTCAGCAGTGTACTTCGTCAGTCTGCCTGCTCTGCTCTCTGCTCTGACTCTGGTGAATTCGCTCACCCTCCCGCACTTCTGACTGTACCCAGCGCTTGTATAAATAAATAAACAAATCTTTAAAAAAAAAAAAAGAAAACCAAGTTTGGGGTGTTCAAAAGTTCCATCTAGTGACCACTGGAGTTCTGAATTACTTTCAGTAGATTCGGTCCACTTGGAACTGCATGTAGAAGGACAGTGGTACTAAAACAATAAGCTGGTTTCAATTTCTAAAGGAGAAACACCCTCAAAACCCTTAGATGACTGAAGTCCCATTTTATTATTATTGTTATTGTTATTGCTGCTGCTGCTGCTGCTCCCAGAAATTCCCTGCATGGCTTGCATCTTCATAGTTGACCCTGTTCCCAAAAGGAAATCAGACGTTGATCAACTCGTGTTCTTACAAAAAATGTGTAATTTCCAATAAAGAAACAACCTGTCTCTATCAGGTTAGTGCTAATCTGAGTATTCATCCAAATGCAATAATTTCTAATGAAATAGCCTGTTTCCAAATGAAAACCAGCATAATTCCCCAGAAAGAGCTTTCTCAGAACAAATGGACTAAGTGTAATTTTCAAGCACACATGCACACAGCACAACACAGATTGGAGAATCTGTCCCTAATGAATTGAATTGAAAGGCAGCTCCACTCTAATAAGAGCTCCCTAATTTCAAAGAATCTGCCCATTGTTGACATAAGTCCACTGTGATAACCCAGACCCTTGAACGAACAGTTATAAGCAGGGTTGATAGTCCCAGATAGAAAAGCAGCAAAATTTCCAAATAAGCACTGGAGAAATCACACCAGCCTGGGGATCTCAAATCCAGGAGCAGACTGACCCTGAGACCCAAGGTCAGTGAAAAAGTGATGAACGCAAGCAGACCCATGAGCACCACACCTGATTTTACACCCACCTCAGAAGTTATTAGGAAAATCTATCTCTGGATCTCCACGTGAGACACTAAATATGTCAGTCTCAAACCAAAGCAATCAATTATTCTGATTAAAACATGGTTTGCTTAGAAAAAGACAGCAAAAAGGCATAGATTGGAAAGAACATTTCTCATGGGAGAGCCACATGCACTTTCCTGAATCAAAGGTCCATAAAACCTTATGTAGCATCTGGAGGGCATTTTTCCATGGGGTTGTAAGAGCAACATCATTTCCTGTGGAGATATAATGAATTTTGGGTACTGTTGTTTGCTGATTTGTACATGCATTGGTGAGCTCTTCTAACCTCTTGACAATGAAAATGATATTAGCTGTGGGATTGCCATGTATAGCCTTTATTATGGTGAGGTATGTTTCCTCCAAGACTTATTTTCTTCTTTATTTCTAACAATATTATTAAAATAACAATATTCATAGAATCAATGATAATATGTGCTTGTTAGTTTTTTTAAAAAGGTGCTATGAGAGAATAAAATGCATATGATTTAAAACAGGATGGGGTGGTTAATGACAGCTGTCAGAGGAAGTATATTGAAACTGACTCAAGGGATAAATGCAAATTAACAAAAAGAAAATGAGAAGATCTAAAAGAAAATCTAATATCGCAGGAATGGATATTAGAAGGAACTAGGCATACTAAGAACCTGAACCTCTGTGTCTAGAGTACAATGAGCAAAACAGAGTGTAAGCCACATGAGGTTAGAAACTATGAAGCAATTTTTCTTCAGGAGAAACCATTGCTAACCATTTACCTGTATTCTGGTTCATTATAATTCTCAACTTTTGTTTTTTTTTAATTCTTCACTAAAAGTATATTTAAATAAATACATAAATGATAAATAAATATCATATGATCTGAAGAAATGATCATAAAGAATAATGTGGCATTATTAGGAATTAACTTAGAAAATTTGAAAGAATTTCAGAAGATCTCTAACAGGAGAGTGAGAAAGATCTGAAGTTAAGCAGTAAAATTAGTATATCTGGTTGGAGGGAACAGTTATAACAGGAAAATGCTTAAATGATGGAAACAGAAATGATACGTTCGTTTTTGCAAAGGAACTAGCCTCTCCAGAACGGTAAGGATAAAAGCAGTATTGTCATGGTCACAGAATGAATGTGACCAGATGAGAGGAGATGGCACAATAGCTGAGGAAGGCAATGATATTACATATGGTTTCCTTAAACCTGGAGTCACAGCATACATAAAAGCTAAAAATAAAGTCCAGAAAAAGAAAGGTTAGTAATCCTAAAATAACGGGGTATGAAAGAAACAATGATACAATACAAAGACTGCATTTTGTCCAGTTCTATTGATATTAATGTGCATATTGTATAAATTTAAGATGTGCCAACAAGTTTATTTGATGTTTATATATTGCAAAATGATTCCCACCATATCATTAACTAACATCTCCATCCCATCATAAAATTACCATTTCTGTGGTACTAACATTTAAGATCTATTCTCTTAACATTCAACTGGATGATCCAATATTACTGGCTATAGTCACCAGGGTGTTACATTAGATTCCCTGAACTTGTTAGCTGTAGAACTGGAAATTTGTATCCTTTGACCAATAGCTCCCATTTTCCCCTCACCCTAGTCCGCTGGTAACTACCACTCTGCTCTCTGTTTCTCTGAGTCCACTTTTTATATTTCACATATAAGTGATGCCTTTTCTTTCTCAGACTTTTCATTTAACATAATGCCTTCAAGGTTCATACAGTTGTTACAAATGGCAAGATTTTCTTTTTTCTCATGACTGACTAGTATTCCAGTTTCTGTATGTGCATATATATTTATATATGTAAATATAGATTAAATATATGAAATTTATCTAACATATTACTTATTTGAAATATATTTCACATTTTCTTCATTCATCAATTAACAAGACACTTAGGCTGTTTCCATATCTTGACTATTATGAATACTACAACGGACAAGGGAGTGTACTGTGAGATCGTGATTTCAATTTTTTTTTAATATATACCCACAAGTGGGATTACTGGATCATGTGGTAGTTCCATTTTTATTTTCTAAGAAACCACTGTACGGTCTTCCATACTGGGTATAACAAATTACCTTCCTGTCAATGGTGGGCCATGCCTTCCTCAGCATTTGTTATCGCTTGTCTTTTTGTTCGTCATTCTAACAGGTGGTTTTATTTTGCATTTCCCTGATTATTAGTGATGTTTAACACCTTTTCATGTAACCATTGCACCATTTGTATATCTTCTTTGGAAAATTGTCTTTTAATAAATGCCAGAATCATTTAAGCTATAGTTCTAAGAAACTTCTAGAAGAATAGAATCTAAAGACTAATTATCAACATTCAATTGTAGAAAATTGATCAGATTCCTAGAATAAACTGAGATCAACAGAATGCTTTGAGGGAGTATAGTTCAAGTAACAGCGAAATGTGATACAAAAATGTAAGTTGTCAAAATAATGCTTTTATGAAGTAGTGAGTTCATACTGTTTCAATTCCTGTTAATTTCACAAGCACCTAATTCTGTTTAATGTTGTAAAAATGATCTGGCTAAAATAAAGACCCATTACACGTGCTCAAGAGATTTTTTTGTTGTTGTTAAAATAATTTATGCATTTTTGTTTCTTAATAGTATATAATTATTTGATGTTTGGAGTGAAAGAGAAAAAAAGAAATACAAAGAAATCTAAAAGTAATTCCTCCCATGTGTCTAGATCATCACATATCAATAAATGCATATAGGCAGGGGGTTTATTCTAGGAAATTAAATGTATTAACGCTGGCCCCAATATTGATCATGAAAGAAATACATGAGGTGTTTCTGCATATTTACATTTTGTTTGAATATTTACAGCTGTATGTTATGACTCCTTGTCTAAAATTGAATAATTAGTGTTCATAAAAACAAAAAATACTACCCTGTGAATATAATTTTTATTATTTTTATTGCAGGTATTCATTTCTGTTGCCTCTACTGGATCAGAATTACGCGGCCCAATCTATTGTAAATGCCATTTTGAAGGATGAAGTTTTCTTAGTAATGCCAAAATTTATTATTTTTCTATTGATCATTAAAGAGTAAGTTAATAAGTTCTCCATCATTTTGGCTATGTGTCCCATAACTGCTACCTCTTGCCTATAAAACACCTTCATATGTTTTAATGACAAAAAGGAAGAACTTTAATCATGCAAGTACCATTTATTGCATTTTTGCTGGTTGTGTCTTGGTTACTCCAGACGCTGAGAAAATCTAGAAACCATTTAGGTCTTTTTTTTTAAGATTTATTTATTTATGTATACACGAGCTGGGGTGCAGGCCAGAGATGCAGGGGTGAGAGGATTCACCAGAGACAGAGTGAAGAACAGAGCAGGCAGATAGACTGAAATACCCTGCTTGAGGGGAGCAGCGGGTGAGTCAGGAGAGGTCTGCTGTGCCATATGGGTCACGGCCCTGGCCGGGGATCGAACTCATGCTGCAGTGGCTGCAGATAGCTTCACAGTGCTGATGCCTAACCCCTTGCGCCACCAGGGAGGCCCCCGACTTAGGGCTTACAGAGTAAAATTTGCTTCAACAGAAGCAAATAGTATTCTTCTCCCCCACTTTTTGGGTGAATTCTCTGAGTTCAACTAATGTAGAATTTTATTTTGAAAATAGGAGACACAAAACCTGAGTGTGTTGCCAGAAAATATGTGGAGGATATTTGAAAAGTTCCTCATTTCTTTTTGTGAAAGAGCACCTACAACTTCACAAGAGGTCATAGTATGAGTTCCAGAGTATTTGCAGGTGTCTGTAGCCCAAGCCTCCTGTCTTCTACAGAACAACATTTAACATTTACTAAGTGAATGTTACCAGGCTTACCAGGCTCGTGTGACAGATTTTTATCACATTTACAGAATCTGAGGCTTAAAAACAATAGATTAGTCACCCCTCGTGAGAAAAAGACACATTTTTTTAATTGTTTCCTGCTCCATGTTCAGGGTTTAGTACAGTACAAACACAGAAGAAGCATGTGAGAAATATTTGCTGGGTTGTGTTGATTGAGCTGAATTGATCTGATCTACACAGAATTAAGATGAAGAAAAGTTCAGTTCCTTTACCTCCAAGAAATGAAAACAATGGTTCTTATCCTGGGTATACATTGGGATCACCTGAGGAACATTTAAAACTATGATGCCCGGGACTTACCCTCAAGAAATTCTGCTTTAATTATTCCGATTTTCTTTCTAGTTTTTGCTACCATTTGTCAGTCTAAAGGAGCATAGCCATTCCATAGAAGTGAGTGAGGATAGTACATAAATAAACTGGTCAGTAGGAATTTCAAAGTTTCCTGCATTTGCACAGTGCACAGCAAATGTGACAGTATTGTTTATTTGATCAAAACTTTCATTTAGTGACAGGTGCATGGCATGAATTACAACATCTCTCACTATGGGTAATTCAAAAGTAATCTATGAAAAGAAATATCTTTGACCCCTCTTAAAAATTTATGACTGTTTTCTCTGCTTTTCTCTAGAATGCTGACTCCAAAAATGTGTCTTGCCTTTGGTAAATACCTTGGAATGGACATTTTTATGACTAATTTCAAAGGGAAAAATCTAGAAAGCAAAAGAAGATCAAACTGAATCTGAGAGGAAACACCTATAACTGAAGCCAAATGTAATAATAAAATGTTATAAGGATAAACTCTTTGGAAGGCCTGTTGCTTACAGTGTTCTGGTCTACCAAGGATTACCGAGTTTTCAAAAGTGTTGACCTCATTTCCAGGATATGGTTTGAAAACTGATTATTTTTCTAGGAATTCAAATTTGTGAACAATTTTTCCTATCATTTTCTAGTTTGGTAAATAAGGAGATCACAGCATTTCCAGTGAAATCTGCAAATGCAATGTATCTATAAGAACTAATTGATGAAAATGACTCTAATTTCTAAGTAGATAGTTTATGATACTTTTAGAAAAAGGCTAATTACAAACAATGCATGTCAGTGTTTTAGGCTGATTATTTTCAACATCAAATTTAAAGATGCATGTTAGTTTTTTAATTAAGAAAATTAATGTATATTTGACAAAATGAAGGCATATTTGTGTTTCTATTTTCTGCTGAAGTTGGATGACCTTAGTGAGAATGAATCTGCTTATTCCAAAAACTAAAAATGTAATTAACCATGTTTGTTTACAGCTTCATATGTTGAGCAATACCTAACTTCTTTACTCCATAAAGACTTCTAAACTCAGTGGTTTGAGAAAGAAACTTACTTTTATATCTAATTAATAAAATGACACTAACAGTGATATATTTGAATGTAATATAAACTCTCTCTTTCAAAAAAGTGTACATGCATAGATCCAAGATCTACAAAGAATTCATACAACTAAACAAAAGAAAACAAATGACCTAATCAAAAAATGGGAAAACAGAGAAACACTACTCCAAAGAAGACAGACAGATGGCCGACAGGCACATAAAAAAAATGTTTACCATCACTTATGGTCAGGGAAATGCAAGTCAAAGCCACAATGAGAATGGTCCATATCAAAATGACCAGAAACAACAAATGCTGGTGAGGGCGTGGAGAAAAAAGAATCCTCTTACTTTGTTGGTAGTAAGGTAGACTGACCCAGGCCCTATTAAAAACAGTATGGCGGTTTCTCAAAATATTAAAAATAGATCTACCATATGATCCAGCAAGTCCATTCCTTAGGCATTAATTCTAAGGGATGTATACATTTCTGTATTCATTGCAGCACTATTTGCAATATCTAAACTGTGGACCTAAAACAGATGAATGCATCAATTTGCGGTATATATACACAATGGAATACTACTTGTCAATCAAAAATAAATAAAAAACTCGTGCCACTGACAGCAATAAGGATGTTGCTGGAAGGGATTATGCTAAGCAAACTAAGCCAGAAAAAGAAAGATAAATACTGGGTGGTGTCACATATATGTGGCATACAGAGAAACAAAACAAGGAGTCAGACAAAACCAAACCAATAAAAAATCCTAGAAATCTGACTCTTTAACTGAGGCTACTAAAAGGGGAGTGGGAGTAGGGAGAGAAAACTGGGAAAGGAACCCAAATGAGTATGGTGGAGGAATATGGATGTGTTGATGGTGGGTCTGATGTGGAGACATGCCTCTGAGGAGTTGTGATCCAATGCCTCTGATGTCACTTCTAATTTTTTTTATTTAAGATTTAGAAATGAATTCCCCTAAAATCATCCCCTTCTTCATGCCTCATTGAAAGTTTTCACATACATCCACCTTGAAGACTCCAGGAATATTTTAATTATTTTAAAAAAGCAAAAAAGAAAAAAGAAAGCAAGCTTGTAAGTTGAATATGATGACTTCTTCTTTTTCTGGTTATATGAATGACTAATCCAGAAAAAGTCTTCCAGAATGGACCTAAAAATACTAGAATTAAAAAGAAAGAAAAAATTAAAATAATTGGCAAAACTGTTGGGAAAAGGAAAAAGATCCTGATCATGGAAAATAAGAAAATAAAAATCCTAAGAGTTAAGCTTATCTTGTGCTGGTGTTTATCAGGAGGTATATGTATTGTGGGAGGCGGTTATCTGGCTATCCTAGGAGTTCATATGCTTTGGAGGATAGACAAAAGCATGAGGCTTGTAAAGGCAAAGATGGTGAACTTGGAAACATTCATAAGCAGCCAAAATCCCAGAAATGTTACACTGCCAGAGGACTGAACTGGGGAGGGAAGCATCAAACAGAGAGAGACAGTGTGTTTGGGAGAATTTATACCATCTGTGTTACCTCCACTCCCCAATAAATCTAAGCCAAATAGTTGGTTAAAAATGCTCACAGCTGAACTTATTGGGATGATGGAAATGTTCTAAAACTGAAATGTGGTAATGCACTACTGCACAACTATGTAAACTTACTAAACCCAAACTGTAAACTTAATATGGGTAAAGAGTATAACATGTAAATTATATTTCAATAAAACTGTTGGAGAAAGAGAGTGGAGATATTGCCTGTCTTGCTCCTCATCCTGACCACATAGCCACTTTCCACGTTTTCTATAGGTAATACAGGAAGTTAATGCCCCTCACTAGTATTAATTCTACTGACAGGAGGTAGATTGATTCAAAGAGAAATCAAAGATTATAAAGCTAAAGCAAAAAAAGAAGAAAGCTTATCTGGGTCATGAGGCATTGGCTGTGTCTAAATTGTTTTCTAATGTTACTTAAGCAACCTTGGCATAACAAACCAGGTCAAATCCACATAAATCCATTGCCAAGTCACTCAGACTATTACTCCTAGGGGCAAGGTTGGGGAATGTTTGTTGGGCGTGATAATGGTCTTGGAGTAACCAAAGGAGCAAAAACTAACTGAAATAATAAATTCTTTTGTCTTTTTTCAGTGAAAGTCTGTGTAACTGACTCTGTGAGAAACTTCTGAGTCATGCTGAGGATTTCCACTCATGCGCCCTATCCTAACATGGTCTCTCTGACTCAGCTTTCTGAAACTTTTGTGTTTCTTTGGTATGTGGTTAACTTCCCCAGTGAGGTGTTAACACAAACGCCCCTGCCTCCTTCAACTCTTGGATTAATTATTCATATGTATTCCTCTTGAGTCATATGGTGTTTCCTACTTCTGCCATGCTAACACTGCTTTCCTCTTGTCATGGAACTAACAAATCTACCTCTCAAGCAATCCTGCTCTTCTCTGAGGATTTTGTAATCTCTTTCTACTAAAACCAAGATGGTATACCAAAATAATGCATTTTGGTAATACTGAGATATTTTGAATGGGTCATCCAATGACTAGACTTCTGCTATTTTGCAAGTAATCCCAATATGTTCTTAGATTGAATCTTTACTAAACATAAAGTGTGTATATTTTAATCACTTTTTTGTTTTTTAATATTATAAATTATTATAGTATGTGAAATTTGTAGAAAGTCTAACCATACAGAAACATATATGAACACAGGAAGCATTTGTTCAGGGCTCTCAGTCATTCCTCTTTGCCTCTAGAGGGAATCACTGTGAACAGTTTGATGTGTGTTTGTCACATCCATTCTTCTATGTGTTTCCATCTATATTACATGCAAACATGCACACACTCACAAACAATGTAATCTTGGTTTAACTTCAATGGAATAATACTTCATTGTTGTTTTGGGGGGGCTTTAACTTAATACCTTCATTTTTTTGTCAGACTGGTAGAATTCTGTCTGTTCTATGACCACACCATGATTAATGGAATAGATGTGTACAAGTAGTTTCTAAGTTTTTTGCCATAGTAAATAAGCTTCATGAGAATTCTTTCTGCATAGGTAGATCACATATTGCTATGTGATTGACTTTCACATCTAGGAGCTACAGGAATGTGTGATATGTGAATAAACAGGAAAGGCATGATAGCTACTGCCCAATTAACTTCCATCTAAGATACACCAACTCATACTCCCATACACAATGCATGAGAAAGTCTGTGATCCCATGCACTCACCAATACTGGATTTTTATCTAACTTTTTAATATGCCCATATGGATGGATTAAAAATATTTCCTTTTCAATTTGCATTTCCCTAAATACCAGTGAAATTTATCATCTTTTCAGATGGTGTCATTATTTGAATTTATTTGCCTATGAGTTACCCGTGCATTTCTTCACCCATTTTTTTAAATAAATTTTATTTTTATATTCCCCATACAATTGCAACACCCTTATTTTGACCCCAATTCCTCCCCTCCCCACCCCCCACCCTCCATAGAGTGTCTCTGGTTCATAGTTTTTTGTTGATTTTGATTTTCTCTTTCTTATAGTTATTCATTTTCCTGGTCCCTTATTTAAGTTTTCTAGATTCTTGCTATGAGTGAGACCATCCGGTATTTTCTTTTTCTTTCTGGCTTATTTCGCTGAACATGATCCCTCCCAGCGCCATCCATGTTGCTGCAAATTGCATGTGTTTATCTTTTTTGAATGCTGAGTAATATTCCATGGTGTATATGTACCACATCTTCTTGATCCAGTCATCTATTTTTGGGCATTTGGGTTGTTTCCAAAGCTTAGCTATTGTAAACAGTGCTGCTATAAACATAGGGGTGCAGGTGCTCTTTGGAATTGATGTTTCTGTGTCCTTTGGGTCTTTACCCATTTTTTCTATTGCCCTGAATCAAATTGATTATAGAAATACTATCAGTTATGTCTAATTATCAGTTCTTCAAGTGAAAATATTTTCTCCTTGCCTATTGCTCATCACTTATGCTTTTTTCTGTAGAGAAGTTTACATTTTTTTATGTAGTCAGGTGACTAACTGATAGTTTCTGGGGTAGGAAGGGCCTCACTTACCAAGTCACAAATCACAAAATAATTTTCTTATATTTTAATTTATTTTTTTAAGATATATTTATTTTTATACAAGAACCGGGTCACAGGCCAGATGCCCGGGAGGGTGAGAGGATTCATCGGAGACAGAGCAGGGAACAGAACAGACAGACTGACGAAATACACTGCTGAGGGGAGCAGCGGGCGAGACAGGAGAGATCTGCTTCGCCATGTGGGATTCTCGCTGGCAGGCTGGCATCGAAACTGCGCTGCAGAGGCTGCAGACAGCTTCACAGTGCGGCGCTCAACTGCCTGCGCCACCAGGGAGGCCCTATTTTATTTTTTAATACTTTTATAGTTTTGTTTTCATATCAATATACCCATCTGGATGTCCCAATTCCTGTTGCCACTCTGTGTTTGCTTACTGAATTGGAGTTACTCAGGGTTTCTCTTGAGAAGAATGACTCATGTCTGTAGTTGTTTTCCTTTGGGTGTGTTTTAGCTCAAGGTGTCTCTTGCTCCAGTTTCTGGAAATGGGATCCATCTCCTTAACAAATTCTACTCAGTCTTCTTTGGCAGTCTCTTTCTTTTTTTTTTTCTATTGATAGCACTGTTACGTTTTTATTCACATTTTTATATCTTCCCTTTCATTTCAAAGTTCAAAAGGAAATAAAAGTGCATAAATTCAGTCTGCACTCTTGAATGGAAATGTCTATGTATATGTGTGCTGGGAAAAGTGAGCCAAAATTCCACTATTCAATAATAAAAAAAAGTTTGTAAATTCACTCCAATGTTTCTAATGCAAAGAAATAAAATTTTATAGAAAATCAGGATCATATTGTATTCAGTCTTGTATGGCTTTGAAACTCATGTGAATGAAGTGCAGTTTCCTATACCCTTGAAAAATGTGATCTCCTGAAAAAATTTCTGAAGAGTCCTCCATCTGCCCATATTTATCTAAAGATCAATTCATTTTTTATTAACATACTCATTTCCAGAAGGTAATAAACTCCTGTGATTAGATACAATAAAAAGTGTCTTCTCTAATCCATGATTCCCACTGGCCTAGTTGTTCTGCTGCAGTCCTTAAACAATACCTGATTGTTCTGTAGATAAAGTCCTATACGTGCAATGGATGAGGGCATATATACCTTTCTAACTCCTAATACATACTTGGGAGACAATAAATGTTTTAATGTGTATTTCTCTGCCTAATAATGATGTTAACCCAATTTTTCATATGTTCATTAGTCCCTTTCTACATCTTCCATCATAAACTGTCTATTCCTAGAGTTTGCCAAAAAGGCCCCTTCAGAAGTACATTCTTAACTTTCTGAATTATGTTCAATCTACTGAATTTCTTTCACATCAAGTCAAAGTGAGGCTTGCTTCAAACAGCATGGTCTCTAGCTCCTTTAATTACATTATCTATGAAGACCCACTGCTTTTAATATCTTGTATATAGTAAGATTTCTAATAATGCTTAAGATATCTTACTTGAGGACCACTCAGAATTTCTGCTCAGAAAGAAGAGTAACAGCCCAGATTCTGCTCAGAGAAACCATGATGGTTACCTAAGTTTTCAAAAACATAAGGTATTTTCCAACACCCAGCCATCTGAACTCTTGCAAGCAGCTGTATGTCCTAGAACCATCACCACCTTCTCTGTTCCTTAGTCTGCCCGGGACTCTCCCAGGTATTGTTCACCTCCAGCCTGTCTCTGAAATCCCTTCCAGCCAAACTGCTTTTTCTCATCCAGGCTGGTTAGATGCCCCTCTTCTATGCACCTCAGGGCACCTGGGGAGCATGCCTGTCCCCACATATGTGACACTCATGAAAGTGTCTTCCTGTCCCTCCAAGAATTCTGAGGTTCCCCAGAGTCATGCACAGGGCCCTGTGCAGCAAGCACATGGGAAAGCAAAGTGCACACACCTGCACCATTCCCCTTCTGACAGGACACCACTCAAACCCTTTCCACAGCTCACCACTGCCTACAGCACATAGGGAACCTCCCAAGCACTGAAATGAATTCAAGGCTGTCCACTGCACCTACATTTCCAGGCATATACAACTTACTTGTTCCTTCTCACAGTCAAATAAAGAACAAGTGTGCTCTTCCTCACATGCTCAGGTCTGTCCCAAATACAGGTTGATTAACCTGACTCTCTTCTGCCTCTCCACTTACACTTGACTTCCTCTACCCTGATTCTTCCACATGAATTCCAAAGGGAATCTTGCCCTAACTCCCTCTTTTATTTCAACATCCCATAATTTTTGTCATTTCTGCACACATAAAACTCCACCCTTTATTACAAGCATTGCAATGGTGACATGCTTTTATGAGATGATTGGCTAATGCTATGAAATGACTTCTATCTTTTTAATATCTGGCATTGCTGATCCTCTGGATATCTGTACAAAGATACTTGTTGGATCAGAGTGCACTATTACCCTTTTCTCTCTTTTTGCACAACCTCATCTTGTTAGAGTAGATGTTTCCTACACCCAAATCCCCTGGCTTCTTACCAGCTCCCCACCCACCTCCCAGCAGTTTTCCCACACCCACATTCTTTACTGCCAAACAGCCAGGGAAACTGTTGACCTTGACTTCATGTGGAGGAATCAGAGCAGCTGGAAAACTGCATATCTGTATCCTGTACTTCAGGCTGCCAAAGCAAGATCTGGTCACCCCTCCCCTCCCCAGCCACTTCACCCCATTCCCCAGACACATACACACACCACACACACACACACACACACACACACACACACACAGAAAACGGCATCTGCCGCCTCTCTATTCTCCAACAAAAGGGTAAACAACCTTGAGAATGTGCTTTGGCAATAGAGGGGGAACCTGTTAAATGCCTGAACAACTTCCAACCCAGAAAGTCTGATTAATAATCCAGGATGCAGCCTGGGTGTCTGAATTGCTTTTAATCCATTCATTTATTTCTTTTTAATTGAGTTAATATTAGGTTACCCTCACCAGGTATTGCTACCATAGTGCACCCATCACAAAATCACCCATAGCCCACTACCGGGGCCCACTGTGCCTCCATCCCCCTTTGTTCTTGCCCGTCTTCCACCCTCTCTCCCCTCTGGCTGTTTCACGTCTATGGTCAGTTTTTCAACAGTTAGTTTTTAAGCTTATCTTTATCTGACTCTTAGTTTAGTTACTCCATATTCCACATATTATTGACACCATCTGGCATTTATCTTTCTCTTTCTAACTTACTTCACTTAGCATTATACCTTCAAGCTCCATCCACATTGTTGCAAATGGCATGAGTTTATCTTTTCTCATCACTGAGTAGTATTCCATTGTGTATATATACCACATCTTCTTGATCCACCCATCTGTTTGGGGGCACTGAAGTTGTTTCCATAATTTAGCTATAGTAAATAGTGCTGCAGTAAACATGAAAGTGCATGTTTCCTTTCAAATTAGTATTTTTGACTTTTTTTTGTATAAGTGCCTAGGAGTGGTTCTATAGGGTTGAATGGCAGATCCATTTTTAATGTTTTGAGACACCTCCATACTGCTTTCCATAAGGGCTGGACCAGCAGTGCAGGAAGGTTCCCTTTTCTCCACATCCTCACCAGCACTGCTTGTTTCTGGTTTTTTCGATAGGGCCGTTTTCACAAGTATGAGATAGTATCTCATTGTAGTGTTGATTTACATTTCCCTAATGATAAGTGATGGTGAGCATTTTTTCATGTGCCTGTCTACAATCTGTATGGTTTCTTTGGAGAGGTGTTTGTTTACTTCTTCTGTCTGTTTTTTGATTGGGTTATTTGTTTTGTTTTCATAGTTTTATGAGTTCTTTCTGTATATTTGATATCAGTCCCTTGTAAGATGTATGGTGTACAAATACTTTCTCCCATTCAGCAGGGTGTCTTTTTTTTTTTTTTAGTTATGATTTCTTTTACTGTGCAGAAGCTTTTTAGTTTGGTATAGTCCAGGTGTTTATTCCCTTTTGTTTTCCTTGCTGTTGGGGGCAAACCCTTAAGGCATCACTAAAGCTTATGTCAAGAAATGTTTTACCTATGTTTTTTTCCATGTATTTTATGGTCTCAAGTCTTGTATGTATGTCTTATCCACTTTGAGTTGATTTTGGAGTATGGCATGGGATCCTGGTCCCCTTTGATTTTTTTGCATGCAACTGTTCAGTTTTCCCAACACCATTAATTTAAAAGGCTACCCTTGTCCCAGCATATGTTTTTGGCTTCTTTGTAGTAGATTAACTGTCCATATAGGTGTGGATTTTATTTCTTGGGTCTCAATTCTATTGCATTGGTCCGTATTGGAATTTCTAAAAGTTCCTGGGTGATTATTTTGTTTTAAATTGCTGCTCAGGAATGCCCAGTCTTCCTTACCAAATCTCTGGCTTCCAAATATGGCCACCTGAGGGAAAAAAAAAGCAAGGAGGGCCCCACCCCTGGGATTAGCACTGCCAATCCACCTTTGGTTTTGATTTTGGGCGGACTCCAGAATACACCCTTGAAACTTAAGGAGCTGCACGCCACTTACCTAGTACGTGTGGTGAAGGAGAGTGGTGGTTTCTCTGCAAGCAGCGAGGGCATCATACTACTGGGTGAGTTGTTGGGGTCTGGGCCCTGGGACTGGGCAGACCTCAGACAGGACGGGGTGCTGGCAAGCTCCGAGGTGCCTGTAATGCAGTGAGCCACTAGCTGCAAGGGGCAATGTGGCCAAGATCAGTCTGCCTAGCTGTGTGGGCACTGGGTGGAAGCAGGAAGGGAGCTCATGCTGATGAGCCCAAGCGAGCCTACCGGTTCCCAAGCCCCAGCCCACCCAAGGGACCTCCAAGCCCCTACGTGGAGGGCTGAGATGCTGGCCCCTTCCCCATTCTGGAGCAGAGGGCAGGATGCCTTCCTGATACCCAGTTCTTTGGACCATTCTGCCCAGCTGTACTTCTCTCTGCTGTTCAGTGTGCCTATGTCTTTGGCACCTCCCAGCCCTTCCCAATTCACCCTAAAGGGGGACCTTACTGCTGTGCCCTGACCTGGGAAGCAGACATCACTTCTTTACCTGCATAGAGATAGGGCAGCTTGTGGACTAAGTGATTGTGGGATGAAGACACCACAGAGAAGTCTTCAGACTTATTAAATTTAATATGCCTTGTGATTTCCTAAGGAAGGGTCTTTCAATAAAAAGAAACTTAAACTTTGCTTGTCTTTGTAAGTACAGTTGACTTTTGAACAACCTGGGATTACCCCACCTAATACAGCTCCAGCTCAGTGGGAAATATGCATCTATCTTTTGACTCCCCAAATCTGAAGAAAGGCATCCCTTGTTATCCACAGGGAAATGGTTTTAGGCCCACCTCCTCCCACACCAAAATCCGAGCATGTTTAAGTCCCTTATAATTGGAGATTCCTGCATTTGCATGTCAACCAACCCACATAGATAGTCAAATTCCTGAATTCAGAACCCCACAGATAATGGGAAATGGAGAGTCAACTGTATAGATTGAATAAAATCCTCCTATATGTGACCCTATCAGTTGAAACCAATATTGTTCAAAGGTCAACTGTATACCTACCATAACATAAAAAATCTTTAATTGATGTAACCAAGGACGAGTAATTCATGTAGTAGCAGGAATAGCAATCATAGCTCTAATGAATATTTATTATTCAACTGCTATGTGCCTGTAATTCTTCTGGCAAGGCTTCCAGGAGCAGAGCGTGATGATGTGTAACCTGGAGGGCACAAATCCAGCCCAACTCCTCATGGTCCCTCCCACTACTTCCCAGTATCCTGGAGAGGGCTATGTGCTGGGCAGTGATGGCCTTGCCGCCCCCCCCCCCACACACACACACACTTAGCTCAAAAGCTTCATATGGCCTGGTAGGAACCGTACATACATCTCTCCTCCTTAGTATTTTACCTATATTAACTCATTTAACTTCCACAGATCCCTTATTCCATAAATATTGTTAGTACAAGTAGAATCTCCCCATTTAGAGGAGGAAATTGAGGCACAAGAGATGAAACAAATAGTGAGTGGTCCAAATTTCAATCCAATTATTAATTAATTAATTGAGTCCCCTCAGATTGAGTCCCCATAGGATTTCCTTCCCCAAGGCTCCTGTGCACCATCACCACAGTCCCCTGTGCTCCTCCCTCCCTCCCTCTGATCCCTCTCCCTCCTCCTCCCCTGCAGTCTGTCTCTGATTCATAATTGTCTTTTTTTGCTTTGTTGTGTTTTGTACTGCTATTATTATTATTATTATTATTATTTTGCACTGCTATTATTTTTTTTTACACTGATGTCTTATTTGGTTCCCCTATATTCCTGTTATAAGTGAAACCATCGATATTTTTCTTTTTCCTTCTGGCTTATTTCACTGAGCATAATTTCTTCTAGCTCCATTGCTGAGAATGGCATGAGTTTATCTTTTTTGATTGCTCAACCCAATTTTTAATCTGTAAATCTCACTACAGACGCAGTTACCCAACTGCTACCCTAAATCCCAAATAAGTAAGCATTTGCCAAGGCAATGAACTTGTTCTAGTTCTTGCATGAAGCCTACATTGAGACAATAGTGTCCTGAAGTTTAGATCCACTGTATTAAAAACATCATATCATGTGGATCAGTGGTAAGATTTCTAGCCGATTGCATAGTATGGAAGGCCACTGAAGAGAGAGTAAATCTCTATTCTTCTGGAAAAGACTGCCAAAGAGAGGTATTTTATAGGGCATAGATGGTCTAGTGTGGGTTTTCTCATGGAAAGAGATGGTGTTGGCAGTATCCAGGCTACTGCCCGGGTGGGCACCCAGGGTGTCACATTACTGTGTAAAGTCTAATCCTCATCCTTGCACCTGATAAATGGCCCATGATTTTATTTTACTCTGTGTTTAAAAGGAACCTTAGTATCACTGTTCAGGGCACCTTCTTTCCAAGTTCTGCAAGGCCTGGGAGGCCCAAACAGGTCCATCCCAATACTATTCTATGAAAATAAATCCTAAAATGATAGCAGAAAATTTGAGGGGCATTTCATCCAAAGCTTAGTGGAACTTAACAGAAAACACTTTTTGTTTGAATAAAATGTCCATGCCACTTCCCCCTCCAATGCCCTCTACCACCAGCATTCTTATTCCCTAGACAGTGCTGGATACACAAGACAAACCTACCTCAGAGAGCAAGCTCTTAAGCTACCCCCTATTTCCCTGCTCCCCCAATTCACCATTTGGATACCTGCCCTATATTTTTTCCCAGCAAATCTCTCCTGTTGCTTCTTCCTTTGACCCAAGTCTAAAAGAGCTCTCCTGTTGGCTGTCAATAACATCCTGCACTTTTCTTTGTAATACTATGACTTGTATTAGTCATTTATTCTATTTACTAATTTAATGTCTGTCTTTTCAACTATATCCTTAGTTCACTAATACAGAGGTCATGGGAGGCTGTCCATGCCCTCACCACCAGAGCCCAGCAACAAACCTGCTCAATAAACAAATAAGTGAACAAAGCTGATCCTGCCCTACTAGTGCAGGGACTTTAGATAAAGCACACTTGTGTGCTCATATTTAGAATGAGCCAGAAGAAACAAGTTTTAGTCAAAATTACCTAAGGTTCTGAAAAAACTCCAAGGTCTTCTGTAGATGAATCAATCCACCCAGAGTTATTCATAGTAAATAGTCTGTCCTCAACCAAACTGCAGAGTAAGTGAAGACATGATGTCATGCTCCCCTCCTATCTCCTTTCCTCATCTGTGCCTCTCATTTACATACTCTATTCAGGGAAGCCCCCCATGCCATGCAGAGTGTGTCCCTGCTAAACATGTCTTCTCACTCTGGAAGAAATAAGATCTTTCCTTCTTTCTCAGCTATTACTAAAGAAGCTTATAAACTCATTCTCACTACAGTGTGAATGACTGATAACAGTATGGGAGCATTGAGCCCTGTATGAGTTTGTAAAGGGGAGGTCTTTTATTCATTCAGCAAATCTATTACGTATCTTCTTTTTGAGTAGTACTACGCATCTGAGAGACATGATGACATTCATAAAAGTAGTTATTGTGAGTCATCTTTGTGGTCAAGCATATAACCTACCTTCTTATTTCATCTACTAAACCACCTGCAGGTCTACCTCATCAATATCCTACTCTGGGTCTAGTGGTAATTGATGTGGCACTGGCTCTAAGAGGTTGTGGGGGTGGGGACCACCTGGTCTTGAGGACACACCCATTGATAAAGATTTACAATGTCTATTCCTCTTCAAATATATTATACAAATAGAGTCTTACATTTCCTCTTGAACTTCAGATTTTAAATGGTGATGCAAAATTATAAAGCAACAGCGCAAATGAGGATAAAAAAGATAAAACCAGCAGTTGTGTCATAAACATGGTAATATAGTCAAGATTACAACATAAAATCAGCCAACAAGACTTATGATTATTATGAGTAAAAGATAAATATAAAAGAAAATGGACATCCCTTTGAGTTTGATTTGTATGTCATTACAGTTACTGGCTAATGAACATTTCAGTCATGTACAGTGCTTAGCAGCCTTGGCAGATATATACCAATGTTGGTGCTGTGTATAAAAGTTAGCCAAGATATAGTCCCTGTGGTTTCTTTCCCCTTTCTAGACATCATTTCTTTCACTATCATCAGGTAATATGAACTCCATCTAGTAATCAAACTGAGAAGAAGTGAAAACTTTAATGTTTATATGATTTTACTTTTCTTTACAGGTGTCAGAGAATATGGCCCTCAACCTGAAACCAGCAAAGAAAGTGCTTTTTTATTTGGGAAAAACCTTGTTTTATGTTCTGGAGACAACAATTTTTGCTGTAATTCCAAAACAACCTAAGAACGTTGCTGGTGAAATTGTGCTTATAACAGGCAGTGGGAGTGGACTCGGAAGGCTCTTAGCCTTGAAATTTGCCAGTCTAGCATCTGTGCTTGTTCTCTGGGATATCAACAAGGAAGGGAATGAGGAGACACTCAAGATGGTCCAAGAAGCTGGAGCCACAAGAGTTTATGCCTATACCTGTGATTGCAGTCAAAGGGAAGAAATATACAGAGTGGCTGATAAGGTAAACCTTGACTGCTTATTGTTTTAAATGGATAGTAAGAACTGTGCATAAATGCCTGGACATCCATCTGTTTCTTTGTCCCTTTGCTTTTCTCAATGCTTACTGGTCCATTCCAACATCCCCTTAATTTAAAACTATTGGGATGTGGGAGTTACAAATTTGGAGTTCTACTGTGTGCAATACAGCGTGCTAGGTACCCTGTATGTATTATATCATAGTCATATAACACAAGGCCCATTATTAGCTCCATTTCACAAGTAAAGTGAGAGGCTTAGGACTTACCTAAGAAACACAACTAATAAGTAGCTAAGCTCCAACTTGGACTTGCATCAGAGCTCCAACCACCACACTACACTGATTGGGCTGGTTCAATTACATAAAAGAGGGAGGTGGTAGTATCCTTTGAGGAGAAAGAAACTGAAACACAGAGAAGTCTTAAGACCACTCAGGGTCACAGAGCAAGCACATGACTAAGATTTTGAAACAATATTTAGGCTGATTTGAAATCCAGCTACACCCACTGCATCAAAACACCTTTTATTTAAATGTGTACTTCTCTTAAGTAATCACAAAATATTCGGATGTTAAGTAATCACAAACATCCGAATATTTTATCCATCCTAAACACTCTTACCCACACTTGCTCTTTTGGTGATGGCACAGATGCACATATAAAGAGCACTCTCAAGAAAACAAATCTCGAGAAGGCTAAGGATTTTCTTAGTTCACATAAGCTCAGACTGATAGCAGACTCCATTCCTTCCCTCATAAGGATTTCTCTATCCTCGCATTGGCATAGATGTTCTACACTTCACTCTCCTGTGCCACGTTCTTTGTGGCTCCCAGAATTCCCCAGTTTGGTGAGAAGGGAACTAACTTACAATGAGCCGCCCAACCATGTTGGAAGGTTCTTTCATAGCATCTAGAATCTATCCTCTTGATAAACTTTATCTCACTGACTAGTGGAAAAATTTGCAAGTGATTTTGTAACTTTTAAGTCTGTCTGCACATTTTCCACATCTACTACTACCATCTCCAGTCTAACATTGCCCTGTAGACTCTAGAGAGCCAAACCTGACAATCTAGCATCTACTGAGTCCACCCTCAAAGTACAGTTGCAGCTCTTTGCACTGGAAGCACCAATCACCTGACTGAGTACAAATAATTTCTCTGGTCACTCTTAAGTAATAACTGGTTCATATTCAAGCACTAAAGATCTTCAGATGCTACACAAGCTAGTATAAGATACTCCATAAATAATTAACTACCTTTTCCCCATATCTGTGATTTAATTCTGTCAGAAATGGTCAAGCATGGCATAGCTCTAATTTATTATTCTAGGTCAACAGAGAAAAAATACTTTATTTGTAACATCTTTGAAAATTTCTTAAATTTATTAATGACTGCTGATGTTCAAGGTCAAATTTCAGGATCTTTTTATCTTTTAAACTACATGGTCATTGGCAAAGCAGACCTTCCCCCGTTGTCCACTACCACTGATACACAGGTTACAGTTAGACACAGGCCTGCTGTCCTCATTCCTGGGACTCAAGTCCTCCACAACAGTATATGAAAAAAATAGCATCTTCCCCAGGTCTTTAGCAATACATCTTCCCCTATACCAAATCACAACACTGGGAGCAAACCATATAGGCAGAAGTACACACACACACGGACATACACCTAGAGACATAAAGTGGCACTACTGTGAGCCTCGTGTGCAGTGCATGGCTACTCTGATTTGGGGGTAGGGACCCTGCTTTGTGATATAAGTTACAGTAATAAAATTCAAACACAAAGAGGACAAATCTAATCATATCAGTTCTGGAAAATCTTGTGCTCTTTTCTGACATAAAAACCAGAGTGACACCCTGAAGACTTGTGATAAAGGAAAGACACCAATGTCACACTCAGCATTATTATTTTTTTTTTACATAAAATTTACTGAGCACCCACTCTGGCCAGTGTTACAGCAATAAGCAGGGCCTGCTATGATCCTCCCTACACAGGGAGGAATGCCTTAAGCTGAAAAGTTTATGATAGGGAGAAGAAAACCGGCCAGTTGAAAACAGGACAGACAGGTTCTGAGTGGTGCCAGGTTTTTAAAACATGACAATGAGTATCATACTTCCTCCATTCACTCCCTACTCCACCCCATCTCTAGGTGTCCTGGGTCTTGATTTTATGACATGTGGCTATACTGTCATCATTTGATTAAAATGATATGCTACTGATATATACAGAACATAAAACAAAGTTACTAATTTGAACACAAGAACAGCTCTAACTATGGAAGGAAATAGCCATGCAGCTTTGGATCATCATAAATCCAAATGGGAAGAAATGAGAAGAAAAACCTCAGACTTGGATTTCTGATGCATTATAAATTCAGTCAAAGAAGTAAAACATACTTTGTTTTTACAATGCATAAACTCAGTCTGAGTTAACAAGACTAAGGAGCATATAAAATTATGGGGAAATTAAACTTAGCTGATATGAGAAATTACCACATTGGTGGTCTTGCTTTTATTACTTGTTTTAGGTTAAAAAAGAAGTTGGAGATGTTTCCATCCTAATCAACAATGCTGGAATCGTGACAGGCAAAAGTTTCCTTGACTGCCCAGATGAGCTTATAGAAAAGTCTTTTGATGTGAATTTCAAAGCACATATATGGGTAATTATTTTTTTCTTCTTATGGTAAATATAAAGTTACTCTGATATTTAGATGTACCTTTTGCTTGTTCTCTTACATTATTATTTTTCCTTTTTATTGTAGTAACATTGTTTTACAATGTATAGGATCACAACCTTCAGATTTATGTACCACACACCACCAACCCACAGGCACCCATAGTCCTTCCCATAGCCCATTGGGCCTCTCTGCTTTCAAATCTCCCCTTTTCCCTCAAGTAGCTTCAGTTCTACAGCAGGACTTGTACGGTTTGTTATTGGTTTGATTCTGTCTGACCCTTTGTTTCACTGCTCTCTATTCTACATATAAGTGAAACTACCTAGTATTTATCCTTTCTTTCTGACTTATTTTGCTTTCTGAATTATTTTGCCCCTACCATGCCATCATGTCACAAACGGCAGGAGTTCACCCTTTTTTATAGCTTAGTAGTTCTCCATTGTGTCTATGAACCCCATCTTCCTACTCCACTCATCTTTCTTTGGGTGCTTAGATTGTTTCCATAAGTTGGCTATTATACTAGTGCTGCAGTGAACAGAGAAATGTATATATTTCTTCAAATAAGTGTTTTCACATTCTTCAGGTAGATATCAAAGAATAGAATTTCTGAATCGCATGATAAATCTATTTTTAATGTTTTGAAAAATCTCCATTCTATTTTCATATGGCCTGGGACAATACTACCACCAACATTGCACAAGGGATCCTCTTCCTCCACATCTTTGCCAATTCTTGTTGTTTCTGATCTTTTTGATATGAGCTATTCTAACAGATGTGACATGGTATCTCACTGTAGTTTGATGATGAGAAATGATGGCATTTCTTCAAATGTCTGTTGGCCATTTTCCTGTCTTCTTTCAAGAAGTATCTAGTTAGAGCTCCTCCCCATTTTTTAATTGGGTTATTTGTTTTCTTTTTGCTCAGTTGTATGAGCTCCTTATATTTCTGGAATATCAGCCTATTGGCAGGTGATAGGGTACAAATATTTTCTCCCATTGTGTAGGTATATTTTTGTTTTAATGGTAGTTTCTCTCATTATCAGAAGCTTTTTAGTTCAATGTAATTCCCAAAACAAAAAAGCCCAGGAAAAATGATTTACCTGTGAGTTCTACCAAACCTTCAAAAACAAACTAATACCTATCCTCAAACTCTTACAAGACATTGAGAAAAATGAAATGTTTCCAGACACATTCTATGAGACCAATGTTGCTCTGATACCAAAAGCAGACAAGATTGATAAGTAATAAAACTATAGATAAATATTCCTGATAAACATAGATGCAAAAATCCTCAACAAATTCTTAGCAAACCACATTTAGCAATTCATTAAAAAGATCATACATCACGACCAAGTGGGATTTATTCCAGAGATGCAAGAATGATGCAACATCTGAAAATCAACCAACATATTTCACTACATCAACAAAAGGAAAGGCAAAAAGTGATCATGTCGGGCCTCCCCAGTGGTGCAGTGGTTGAGTGCTGGGCTGCGAAGCTGCCTGCAGCCTCTGCAGCGCCGGTTCGATCCCCGGCCACCAGGTGAGGGTCCCACATGGCGCGCAGACCTTTCCTGCCGCCTGCTGCTCCCCTCAGCAGTGTACTTTGTCAGTCTGCCTGCTCTGCTCTTCACTTTGACTCTGGTGAATTCTCTCACCCTCCCGCACTTTTGACAGTACCCAGTGCTTGTATAAATAAATAAATAAATCTTAAAAAAAAAAAATTTAAAAAAAAAGTGATCATGTCAATAGGTACAGGGAAAGCATTTGATAAGTTTTAATATTCATTTATGATGAAACAAACAATACACTCCAAAAAACAGGGATAGGTAGAACATGTCTCAACACAAAAGGCCACATATGGCAAACCCATCTCTAACATCATACTCAATGGTGAAAAACTTAAAACCTTTTCACTAAGGTCGAGTACAAGATAAGGATGTCCAATTTCACCATACAATTCAACATAGTAATGGTGGGACTAGCTAAAGCAATTAAACAAGAGAAATATATAAAAGGTATTCAAATTGGAAAGAAGTAAAACTATCACTGTCTTTATATGGCCTAATAACATGCATAGTCAAAAGGTTCCACTCAAAAATTACTAGAAATAATAAATCATTACAGTAAAGTGGCAGGTTGCAAAATCAATTTATAAAAATTTGTTGCATTACTATAGGCAAAAAAAAGAAGAAAAAGAAAGAAATCAAGAAGACAATCCATTTATAATAACATCAAAAATATTTAAATACCTAGGAGTAAATTTAACAAAGGAAGTAAAGAACATATACGATGAAAATAATAAACATTGTCAAAATAACAGAAGACTTTAAGAAGTGGAAATACATTCCCTGTTCATGAATTAGAAGAATTAACCTTGTTAAAATTGCCATTTGTATGACAGACAGCAATATATAGATTCAATACAATCCCTATCAAAATTTCAGAGGTTTCTTTCAATTAAATAGAACACATATTGCTGAAATTTATATGAAAACATGAAAGACCCTGCATAGCCAAAGCAATCCTGACAAAGAAAGAGGAAGAACAGTGATATCACGCTCATAGGCTTCAAACGATACTAATAAGTTAATGTACTCAAAACAGTATTGCACTGGAATTAAAAATAGACCCAAACTCATAGAATACAATTGAAAGCCCAGAAATAAACCCACAACTGTATGGACAGTTTATCTATGACATAGGAACCAAGAGTATACATTGAAGGAAGGAAAGTTTCTTCAACAAGTGATATAGAAAACTGGACAGCCACTTACAAGTGAATGAAACTAGACCACTACCTCATACCACATAGAAAAATTAACAAAATGGATAAAACACTTAGATATAAGACCTGAAACCATAGGAGAAAATATATGCAAAAGTGGCTTTAGTGATGTCTTTGTGAATTCATTTTCAATCACAAGAGGAACAAAAAAAGTGTAAACAAATGGAACTACATCAACCTTACATTATAATTAGCCTCTAAATATATCACAGACTTCCAAATTTTAGGCTTATCCTTTCTTTCACAGCCTTCATTTTTTGGTACAATTTAACATACTTCCCTGAGCCTCTGCACAGGGAATCCTGCAAAGTCAGAACAGATGTCCTGGTTATGCTATCATTTATTGATTGCTAACCTATGTTGAATACCATACTAGGCATATCATATATAATCCTTCAAACAATTCAGTGAGATAAAGGACCATGGATATTCAAATCAAAAAAAAAACTAGCAACAACAAATTGTTGGCGAGGATGTGGAGAAAAAGGAACTCTCCTACACTGCTGGTGGGAGTGCAAACTGGTCCAACCACTATGGAAAGCTGTGTGAAGGTTCCTCAATCTGCTGAAAATGGAGTTACCATATGATCCAGCAATTCCACTCCTATGTATCTACCCAAGGGACACAAAACCATTAATTCAAAAGGACACCTTCACCCCTATGTTTATTGCAACACTATTGACAATAGGTAAACTATGGAAACAACCCAAATGCCCAAAAACATATGACAGGATCAAGAAGATGTGGTACATATACACAATGGAATATTATTCAATAATCAAAAAAAATAAACTCATGCCATTTGCAGCAACATGAATGGAGCTGGAAGGGATCATGCTCAGTGAAATACACCAGAAAGAAAAAGAAAAATACCAGATGGTCTCACTCACAGCACGAATTTAGAAAACCCAAATAAGGGATCAGGAAAAAGCTAATTATAATAACATAAAAATCAAAATTAACAGGCGACTAAAAACCAGAGACACACTACAGCAGGGGAGAAGGGAGTAGGATCAAAACAAGGGTGGTGGAAATTTTACGGGAACAATAACCAAGATGAAAATGCATGCATTGTACAAAAATGAAAAATGGTGTAAAAAATATATAAATAAAATTATGCAAAAAAAAAAAAAAGACTGCACACCAGGTGACAGCACCTAGACATGTCGTTAGTGTTTACCTAAGATAGAATTTTTTCAAAACCAAGATACTTGATCTCCTTACTCAGTACCTAACCAAGGAAAGAGAGTTTTTATTAATAACCGTGGTGGGGTTTCCCTGGTGGCGCATGGGTTAAAGTCTCAGCACTATCAAGCTATCTCCAGCCACTATGGCATGAGTTCTATCCCAAGCCAAGGAGCTAACCCACATGGTGCAGCAGACTTCTCCTGTCTCGCCCGCTGCTCCCCTCAGCAGTGTATTTCAGTAAATCTGCCTGTTCTGCTCCCCACTCTGTCTCTGGTGAATCCTGTCACCCACCCCACCCCCACGTCTGGCCTAGACCCATGTTCTTGTTTGCATAAATAAGTAAAAATAAATCTGAAAAAAAAATAAATGTGGTGATTGCTTCCCAGGAACAGTAAAAGACACAGACCCTGACTTTCAAGGTGATATATATGTGAGCTTTCAGAAGTTGCATATTCCTGGTTTTTGCTAAAACCAGTCGTCTCAGACCTCCCTGCAACACACACATACCCATCCCTGCTCATACTTTGTCTCTCTTGCCATAATTCTCTCCTTGTGGGTGAGGTATTTGCTGGAATGTCTGAAATCCCCCTCCAATTTCCTCATACCTTTCCACTTGGACCCCTTGCCTACCTCCTTTGGCAGCTTTTGAAAGTTTGTATGTTTTCTGTCCCTTAGTTCTCACCAAAAACATAATGGTTCTGGTGGTATTCTTGGTGTTTTGTATAGTTTTCCAGAGAAAGATGGAAAAATTCAGAATTAAGTGACTACCATGTTCCTTCAGGAACTACTCCAAGTGACTTATGTTTTCTTATCCAAAATTTTTTCTTCTCCTTCATTACTATGAAGTGAGAATATAGGTTCAAAATGAAGGTGAAGACCATAATCAACCGTGAAATGACCACTCCTGTGCTCTTTGTAATGTTTTACCATCACTCATTTCCCCCAGAGTTCCCCTCCTTCATGGTCTCATTTTTCTCTTCTTTCTCTCTCTTCTTCGAGTTGTTCCCCCAAAAGCTGGCATTTCCCTTGCTTCTATCACACTCACATGCTCTCCCTACATACACCCATTCTGGGCACATTTACAGACATTTGCTGAGCTCCTGCACAGAATAGATACTCAATGGCTAGAGAGTCAGAATTTGTAGTTCCTATGCTCCTGACAGAAGTTGTCTGCACAGACAAGTGAAACAACTCTGTGCAGACCGTCTGAACTCAGGGTTTTTTTTTAATTCTCTGCTATTTCCTTTCCCTTTACTTGTTTCGATTTCCCTAATTCTATGTGTAGTTTCTTTGAAACTTAATGTGATATGCACAAAAAAGGCTGTTTTACCTTTTTTTTTTTAAAGATTTATTTATTTATTTATACAAGTACTGGGTATAGTCAGAAGCGCGGCATGGTGAGAGAATTCACCAGAGCCAGACTGGGGAGCAGAACAGGCAGACTGATGAAATACACTGCTGAGGGGAGCGGTGGGCACGGCAGGAGAGGTCTGTCATGCCATGTGGGACCCTTGCCGGCAGCCGGGGATCGAACCAGTGCTGCAGATGCTGCAGGCAGCTTCGCAGCCCAGCGCTCAACCGCTGCGCCACCAGGGGAGGCCCGGTTGTTTTACTTTTATAAGATGTCCTTTTTGTCACATTTATATCACTCATTTTAAAATATAAATGGGAAATATAAATTTATTTCATGTAAATATTCAGTTGTCATGTTTGATTAGCTATTTCTGTGTTGCAAAATATATCTCCCAAAGCTCATTCCTCCCTGCTTTTTCCCTGCTTTTTCCAGGTCCCACATCAAAAGTGGGAACTCCGAAGGGGCCAAATCACAGCATATGTTCTTCTCTCCCGAACAGACATTCTCTTTTATGTCATGGGGGAAAAAATCAGAAACTATTATTCAGAGAAGTAAAAATGAGTTCAAAACAAAGCACTATCTTTAAACCAAAGTCAACAGTAGTCACATTCTGTGATTAAGAGTGAGGAAAATTTGAAAGATACAAACCAACGGGACAGAAAGACAATATAAATTTTAATAATTATATCCAACTCTTATTCATTTGGTTTGAGACTGACACAAATAAGATTTTCCGATTCTACTTCAATTGTCATCTTAATATAATGTTTATGAAAGTTAATGTGGGCAAAAAATAAGTCTGAATAAGTCATGTTTAATAACCTTGAAATTGCCATCAGGAAAATACTGATTTAACAGGTTAAGTAATTTAAGATAGTTACTTTCCACTCCCACATTTAAGATGTTATGTCTTTCAAGTATTTTTATCAGCCTAATCTCAATGATTATATAAACATCTGAAAAAGGTATAAAATGTAGTATAAAATGTTGACAGTATTTTTTGCCCCTCCTAGACTTATAAAGCCTTTCTACCTGCTATGATCGCTAATGACCATGGGCATTTGGTTTGTATTTCAAGTGCAGCTGGATTAGTTGGCATAAATGGACTGGCAGGTAAGAAAAAATGTAATATTTCACAATTGCGAAACTATTTAGAACTTGAACTTCCCTTGATGTGCTAATAAATTAAGAGGTATAAGGTAAGTGGTTGTGAAATTCATGTATAGCAAAACTTCCCATCATACATATATTTACATAAAGTTGAACTATAAACTTTGGAACCATTAGGTCTTATACCATCCTCTTATTTAAAAAAAAAGAGAGAGAGAGAAATGGTCTCACTGATATATTTTCTAACCTAGTGATTACATAGTCACCTTCCCCCAAAATTCACCTTGCACTGTTACCAGGATAATAAGGAGAATACTCTACCTTCTGAAGTTTCCATTAAATGTTTTCTCCTTGTTGTGAGTTTGGAGGAAGTTTCTCCTCCCCAAGAAAACTAAATAGCCTCTTTGTTTTTCCACTGGTTGAAGGCTTGCAAGAAATGATTGCTATTCCATCTCCCTTGCAACTGACTTGTGGAGGAGGCAAAGAGATTCACCCTCATCTTGGGTGAAGGTGAGCCAACTCAGGAACTCACCTAGGAAGCTGGCTCTAAGAAAAGCACAAATCTTGTTCTTACCAAACAGGGTAAGCAAAGCCCTAAGTACTGGCTTACAAAGACTCCTGTAACTTAGCCATAAGGAGCCCTAGTTATAACACTTGGATAACAGATTGCCAACTGGGCCCTTTCTAAAGCTTTGGAGCTAAGCAACATAGTTTAAAATATACAATGTATGTTTGTATGGTTCATCTCAGTTACATGAATAGGTTTTCCAAAACCACTGCTTACCCAAAATATTACCAATGGCTTCCCTTCCTCTACTCTTTGTAGAATTCATCAGGTCTTATTGCTACCTCTTTGAAACAACACAGGTCCCATAGGTCCATTACAGCTACTAATCATGTTTTTTACATAATACCTCTATCTTCAGATGTGAACAACCCACCCCCCCAACCCACTTTAGAAACAACAGTCTTTTGTTATTCTCACAGTATGAGTCTTGGCTCCCTTGCATCATTTGACAGACAGCTGCAACTACTAGCAGCAATCAAATTACTAGTGCCAAGTGTGGGGTTTTTAGACCCCTTGCAGCCCAAGTTGGTGGATGGGACAACAGAAAACAAGAAGGGGGAAGGAGCAGTCCTGGAAAGCTTCTAGAGTCATCTGAATCATTTAATGTAACTCCTTTGCATCACAATCACAAGGGATACTACTTAGAATGAAAATTCCCTGAGATCATCAGAATCTGAGAGGTTGAGTTCAGTGACATGCAGTTACATTAAATGATTCAAAAATCTAGAAGAAATGGACAAATTCCTAGAACTATACAATCATCCAAAGCTAGATAAATAAGAAATAGAACACCTAAATAGATCAATTGCAAGCAGTGAAATTAGAATAGTAATCAAAACCCTCCCCAAAAGGAAATTCTATGGGGACTCAATCTGAGGGGGTGGGGGGAAGCAAATATTGTCTAAAAAAATTTTTTTAAATGATAAATGTTAAAATAAAATGAAAAAGAACAAAACAGGGGAGGGAAGAGCACAAAGGACTTTGGTGATGGTGCATGGGTGAATTGGTGGTGGGAATTTTATAGGGACTATATGTGAGAGGAGAAATCATGCATTGTACAAAAAGTAAGAATGATGTAAATACATATATATGTAATTAAAAACAACGATTAAAAATGAAAAAAAAACCCTCCCCAAAAACAAAAGCCCAGAACCAGATGGCTTCACAAATGAATTTTACCAAATGTTCAGAAATGAACTAATGCCTATCCTACACAAACTCTCTCAAAAAATTGAGGAGGGAATACTACCAAATATATTTTATGAAGCCAATATTACACAAATACCAAAACTGAACAAGGACAACACAAAAAAAGAAAACTACAGGCCAATCTCTCTAATAAACACCAATGCAAAAATCCTTAACAAAATTGTAGCCAATGGATCCAACAATCCATCAATAAGATAATTCACCATGACCAAGTGGGATTTATTCCAGGAGCACAAGGATGGTTCAACATTCAAAAATCAATTAATGTAATCCAACACATCAACAAAAAGAAAAATAAAAACCATATGATCATATCAATAGATCTCAGAAAACATTTAACAATGTTCAACATCTTTTTATGATGAAGACCCTCAAAATTCCCGGGATACAAGGAACATGCCTTAATATAATAAAGGCCATATACAACAAACACATAGCTAATATCATTCTCAATGGTGAAAAGCTGAAAGCCTTTCCCTTAAAGTCTAGAAAAGACAAGGATTTCCACTCTCACCACTGCTTTTCAGTATAATATTGGAAGTCCTAGCAAGAGCAGTAAGACAAGAGAAAGACATGCAAGGAATTTCAATAGGGAAAGAAGTAAAACTATCACTATTTTCAGACAATATGATAATATACATGGAGAACCCTAAAAACTCCACAGAAAAACTAATCAAAATAATTAACCAGTTTAGTAAAGTAGCAGGATACAAAGTCAACACACAAAAATCAGTAGCCTTCCTATATGTAAACAATAAATATGAGGAAAAAATCATGAAAACCATCCCTTTTACAATTGAAACAAAAAAAAATCAAATACTTGGCAATAAACCTAACAAAAGAGATGAAGGACCTATACAAAGAACACATTGTTAAAAGAAATAGAAGACACAAAGAAATGGAAAGACATCTCCTGCTCATGTATTAGAAGAATTAACATTATCAAAATGGCCATCCTACCAAAAGCAATTTACAGATTCAACACTATTCCAATAAAAATTTCAATGACATTTTTCAAAGAAATAAAACAAATATTGATGAAATCCATATGAAACCACAAAAAACCTCAAATAGTCAAAGTTCTCCTGACTAAAAAGGAGAATGGAGGTATCACAAGCCCAGACTTCAAACTATACTACAGAGCCATAATAATCAAAACTGCATGGTACTGGACCAAAAACAGACACACAGACCAATGGAATCAAATAGAAAAAACAGAAATAAACCCACATATTTATGGACAACTAATCTTTGAGTAAGGAGCAGGAGCAAAGAATACGCAATAGAACAAGGACAGTTTGTTCAATAAATGGTGCTGGGAAACTGGACTGCTACATGCAAAATAATGAAGCTAGACCACTACCTCACACCATGCATGAAAATCAACTCAAAATGGATAAAAGAATTGAACATAAGACATGAAAGTATAAAATATTTAGAAGAAAATATAGGCAAAACACTACATGACATGCATCTCAGTAATGTCTTTAAAAACACATCCCCCAAAGCAAAGAAAGTAAAAGAAAAGATGAACACCTGGGACTTTATCAAACTAAAAGTCTCCTGTACAGCAAAAGAGACATAAACCAAAACAAAGAGACACTCTACTGATTAGGAGAAAATTTTTGCACACAATATTACTGATAAAGGGCTGATCACAAAGATCTACAAAGAGCTGATGCGGACTCAACAAAAACAAAGTAAATAACCCAGTCAAAAATTGGGCAGAAGAGCTAAAAAGACGCTTTCCCAAAGAGGAAATGCAAATGGCCAACAGGTATAAGAAAAAATGTTCAAGATCACTAGTAATCAGGTAAATGCAAATCAAAACCACAATGAGATATCACCTTACACCAGTGAGAATGGCACATATTAAAAAAAAACTAGCAACAAGAAATATTGGCAAGGATGTGGTGAGAAAGGAACTCTCCTACACTGCTCTTGGGAATACAAACTGGTCCAACCACTATGGAAAGCTGCCTGGAGTTTCCTCAAACTACTAAAAGTGGAGCTTCCATATGACCCAGCAATCCCACTCCTAGGAATCTACCCAAAGGTTACAAAAACATTAATTCAAAAGGATACCTGTACCCCTGTGTTTATTGCAGCACTTTTTGCAATAGGAAACAACTTAAATGCCCCAAAATACATGACTGGATCAAGAAGATGTGGTATATATACACAATGGAATATTACTCAGCAATCAAAAAAGATAAATGCATGCCATTTGCAGCAACATAGATGAAGCTGGTAGGGATTATGCTCAGTGAAATAAGCTAGAAATAAAAAGAAAAATACCTGATGGTTTCACTCATAAGAGGAATATAGGGGAAGCAAATCAGGGATCAGGGGAAAAAATAATAACAATAAAAACGAAACAAAATTAACAGACAACTATAAATCAGAGACATTCTGCAGGAGAGGGGGAGGAATCAAAACAGGGGAGGAAAGAGCACAAGGGACTATGGTGATGGTGTTCAGGTGAATTGGTGGTGGGAATTTTACGTGGACTACACCTGAGAGGAGAAAGTGTACATTGTACAAAAAAAGGAAGAATGATGTAATGTGTGTGTGTATATATATATATATATATATATATATAAAATAAAAATCAATAAATCAATAAAAACTAAAATGAGGACAGTGCTTGACCATTCATTAGTGGGTGGTTCCGGTTGGATTCACAGGTTGTTCCTGCTCTCCGGCTTCTCCTGGAATCCACTCTTTGTGACTGCAAACCTTCCCATACACTCCTCATTTCTTCCAGCCGGAGTTAGCCAAGATCATACAAAATTAGAACTCTGAAATTGTTAGCCCCTTTTCTACCAGTGTTACTGTTGCAAGGAAACCTGACTGCAATGCCCTTTAAAAACTTTAGAATACACAGTAGCTATATTTGTCTTTTCAGATTATTGTGCAAGTAAATTTGCAGCTTTTGGATTTGCTGAATCTGTATTCTTGGAAACATTTGCCAAGAAACAAAAAGGGATCAAAACCACTATAGTGTGCCCATTTTTTATAAAAACTGGAATGTTTGATGGTTGTACGACTGGGTAAGTGTGTCCCTTTATTGCAAAGAAACTACATTTTAAAAAATGTGTTGCCATCTATCTTATTTTGTTTTTGTTTTCTAACTTTGTTTAAAAAGACTTTTTTTTAGTGTTCAACCTGATTTATAAATAGTCTCAGAATTTCTGTCTTTCATGAAGTGTGTTTGTGTTTAAAATGTTGAGTTTAATATAAATGTGCTCTCAAGATTGCCTCCAACTTGTAGCCACCCATGAGCCTGGATATGCTTATCACTCCCCTCCACACTTCTGGGCAAATCCCCTTTCTACCATCCAACTCCATTCTACCTTTTGCCCTAAACTGACAGAAGGGCTGGAAATCATTGAACGAGCACAAATATCCAAACCGCCATTTAATGGAGATGACAAGCAGCTGATTTCCACAGACTCACTTTATAATATTTAAACCATTTTTAATATGGTCCCCTATATGCACAAAACAACAGTATATTAATAAGAATCATCATTTTCCATTTCAATTTCTGCTTGTGTTATTATTCACCATGTTGATAATAAGGAAGTAGACACAGAAATAGATAAAATAATGATACAATCTATAACCTTTTATGTCTAATTTGTAAGAATTGTCGGTATTCATTATTAATTTGGTGTGTTTTTTTTTTTCTTACCCTCCCAGGTGTCCTTTACTGTTACCTATTCTGGAACCAGAATATACAGTCAGGAAGATAGTAGATGCAATCCTGCAAGAAAGAACCTACTTATATGTCCCAAAGGTGTTATACTTCTTGATGTTTTTAAAAAGGTAACAATTACTAGTTTCTATTGCATCTCAAATATGCTAATTACAAATTTATTCCCAGTCCCACCAAGAGGAACCACTTAAAACAAACCTGTTAAGTGAATGGATTTTGATCCCTTCATTGTGCCCATTTGTTGACACAATCTCAAATTTGCATAGTTGCTGTACCTCCATGAGTCTTGGAAATGGAGTTGGAACTTTCCCGTCAACTTGGTGCTGCTTTCTTATAAAAAAAAAAAAAAAATAGATTTACTGAATGATCTGTGGATAGTTTGATTTTTTTCTTTCAGGAGAGATGCTTTTGTTGTACTCATTATAGAATAATCATGTTGAGTAGATATTGTGTCCATGCTTACTCAAGTACAGGGTCACAAAGTTAAGGTCTGACAGTAAGCCAGATGCTTCAGAAATTTGTGACATTGGTAAAACTGGCAATAAGTACATAAATTTGAGCTGTAAAATGGTTTAAAAAAACTTGGGGCAGGGGATTGGACTGAAAAGATTTCCACCTCTTAAAGCACAAGAAATCATCTTTTTCCATCTTTCTCTGTGCTTCATCAGATTGCAATGCTGAGATTCAAACAAGCAATAAAGTTATTATATAAAAAATAAGATTTGGTGGGAGGTCACAAATGCACTGAATAAATAGAAAACAAGACAGGGAAATCCCAGTGTAGAGGATAGAGGGGCACAAGTTGAGATTTAATTTTTAGTCTGGTGCTGAGATAGAGTCTGACAAAGAGGAACATTTCACCAGAGGCCCAAAGCTGAGGAAGACAGGAACCACCTGGATATTTTGGGGAGCTTCTGGAGGGACAGCAAGTCCAGAGTCCCTTTCTTTATCTCATACTTAGGAGAGGGTTACCTGCTCTCTTTATTGTGCTTTTCAGGGTCTAGTAGGAACATCAGGTCACCAGAATCAGGGACCCCTGAGAGGATACCAGTGGGGAATTGAGAAGACGAATAATCTTAGCTGGATCTTGCCAAAGGTCTGAAAAGTTATTGCATCTCATTTTCACAGATATCCCAAAAGAGAAAGACTGATGTTCTCATTTATCATGGAAGAACTGAGGCTTGTGAACTAGTAATTTTCCTGAACTATCATTGGAAATGATATATCTAAAATTCCAGCCAGTTTCTCTCAACTCCTCAAGGTTTCACTGCTTCCTATCAAACATTGCATAGTGCAGTGAAGTTTTGGAAACTGACATGATAAGTGAGTTGAATAACATAGATGAAGAAAGGAAAGATCCAGAGACCCTAGACTAGTGTCCTTCCACCCAGATAACCCTGAGGTATGCACACTAAATATACGCCAGTACAAATGGCTTCATCTGTGATAAGTCAGTCATCTTTTCAGCTGAGCTGGTAAAGATACTTTCATGAATAATAACCAGGAATATTTACTCTTGTGTTTTCTCTAGTTTCTTGCCCATCAAGTTGGCAACACTTCTAGCTAAAATTTTTGGCGTCCTCAATGCAATGGATGGCTTCCACGGCAAAAAGAAAAAACAATGAAGGCCAACATTGTGGCTGATGTCATCTGATACCTAATGTCACAAAATGTTTATTTCAATGAAGAAAAGTATTTTTATACAATACAAGTACCATTCTTATTCTGTTATCTAGACCAGTACTTTCAACCTATGTTTTTATAAATAATGTCGCCAATCTGATTTTTTGTTGAGTATTGGTTTTCAATTTTAAAAATGGCCCATTTCTGTCATTTCTGTTTGCAATGGATAACAGAGCGAAATAAACCTCTTGTGAACTGTTCTTCACTTGGTCATTGGGAAAATGGATCAAATGGTGACTGTACCTGAGCCTACATAGGGAACAGGAGTGAGGGATGAAGAGCATGGGCAAGGATCTAGCTGAAATGCCCACTTTAGGGGACACAGAGCTGTTTTTCCCATCACCTTCCTCTCAACCTTGGCTTTTTTAAATTGTGCCACCTGCTCTACAAAATGTCATCCCCTTATGTCCTTCTTTCCAAAGCACTACACAAACACTAATATCTACATGCCAGTGCTGGAATTACATTAGGTACCATTGCCGTGGTGCCTTACTGCACACATGGTACCTTATTGCCTAAATGACCATAGCAAGAAAGTGATCCAAGATCAAATTCTAATTAGGATCACATTTTTTTCCGAGAAGAGATTAAAGATGATCTCTCCTTGTTCTTTACTCTGAAAATGACTTTCTGTTGAGTTAGGTGAACCGTTACCTGTTAATCCAAAAAATATATTCATGTGGTTCATTTCAAGTGTTGAATTTAGTATTTCCAGTTGAGGTTCATGTTCAGCTATTTTTCCACAGAATGCACAATTTTATGCTTTTGCATTCATCAGTGCTGCCTTCATTTTAGATCTATTGAATTCTTACAGTTTAATCAACTAGCCAACTTCTTTCATGCTTTGGAGATTCACTATAAAAGCAAGATTAAGAAAAATATGTTAATTACCATATCCCTGGAACTCCTTCCCAGGCTGGTGGGGGCACCTCACTTGCAAGAAAAACGGCAGCCTTTGTTTCTTACCCTCTTTTGTGTGAGGAGCAAAACAATATGACAGTTACTTTGGAAAGCCCTGTAAGAGTCAAAAGAAATGAGAGTTTGAACATCTTGGGGGTAAGGGGCTCTTAGGGGCAAAAGTCTTGGGAATGTGGACTCTAGAATCCACAATGGACTGATTTGTCTTGCACTGCCTGATACTGACCACTCTGCTCTATATCTCCTTTCCATTCAGAAAATCTTTAATTAAAAGTTTGTTTTCTGATAATAAATATGATAGCTAGTAGTTATTGTTCCTGGCATGAAGCTAAGCACTTCACACACATTATTTCATCAAATCAAAATATCACGCCATTACTCAAAGAACAATAAAAGTATTGAGTACATGCCAAAGAATAAAAGGCAATTTATTTCACAAGAGTGACATCTTACTCAACAGTAGATGTGTACTCAGAGGATCAAAAGACCCTCTTAGACTAACCAATTGATGTTCCAAATCCTTGGTTAACAAGGTTAATTAAGAGAGAGGCACAATATTGCTCCTATATTACAAATCCAAAAGCATATATTCGAGGGGCCTGTCTATTTAGTTGAAGAATAAAGAAGAGTCTCTTAGGGGATTTAGTAGAACAAAGGTCCAACGCATAGTGGGCGTCCACCACATCATAACAGCATTAACAGCAATTATTTCTAATTGGAGTGAATCTTGGCTGGGCCGCTACAAAAACCTGAAATTCAATTGTGGTTTTACAATACCCATAAAATTGTCTAAACAAATTTAGATTTACTTGGAAGTGCTCTTATGAGAAGAGACCACATGTAAATGAGAGCATTCTAGAGGGTAATAAATAAGTAATTGATTTAATACCACTGGGGAGCAAGTGTTCTCGGCATGTGTTTCATACCAGTATCCATCTGAAATTAAATTCTAATGAAACGATGATCAAGAGCCCAACACCCAGGCACCTTTAAGAGATGAAAACTAATGGACAGCCACTGTTCCCCCAGGATTAGGCACTCTGCCTTCCAGGATGTGATCACCTGGCACCCTGGACTCATTGTGTTGCTCAAAAATCAAGAATTACATGAAAAGAAGTGTGACTGGGTAAAAATGTGTGACCATTCTTTTTGTTTGTTGGGTTTTTTTTTTAATTTTCATATTTTGATGTTGTATTAGTCAGTAAATACTGCATAGCTTAAACAACAGAAATGCATTTCTCATAGTTCTGGAGTCCTAAAAAAGTGTCAGAAGATTCAAATTTTGGTGAGGGCTTTCTCCCTGCCTTGCCAATGACAACCTTCTCTCTTTATCCTCACATGACCTTTCCTCAGCATATGGCCATTGAGAGATCTTTTTCTTCTATAAATCTATTAATTCCACATAAAGAGCCTACCTCCTGACCTAATATAACCTTCACTACCTCCAAAACTCCATCTCCAAATCCCAAGGGAGGGTGGAGACACCCTTGGGGCTCTGGAACTTGGCCCCAGAGTGCTGCTTGTGGGCACTGCAAGCATCAGTGGGTGGTAGGAATTTTACTGCCAGCCACCAGTGGCCCCTGGCTGTAGGCAGAGGCCAGTAGTGATGGCAGATGACAGTGCTGCCCCTACCACGTGATGCAGGCCATGCAGCCCCTGGTTTGGGGCTTCAGGGAGGAGCATGGGGCCCCACAGGACCAGCTCCAGTGCTGTGGCTCCCTCCAGCTGCAGGCCCATGGATTTGGTGCCTGGATCGTAGAATGGACCATCAGGTGTGAGCTATGAGCTGGTTGGTAAATGGTCCAATCAGACTAGTAGGTAGAGGACCCTGATGGAGGAGATAAAGTGGGGCAGCAGCCAGAGTGAGACACCTGGGCTCCTGCACTTTCTGAGAATTGCTTGGACAGGGCCAGCTTAGACACTGGGACACTCTGGACTTGCTCTGACTTGCTGTAGGGTAAGGTAAAAAATCAGGCTTTTCTGCCCTCCCGCCATCAGGATAGATGAGGGAACCCTGTGGTCCTGAGTGCATGCCTGATGGCGGGCCCCTGAAGTGGGTACACCTGCGCTAAGACTGTGCTTTTTAAGGGCGGCGTCATGGGGACGCCAGCAGAAGCAGTAGAAGCCAAAAGAGAAGAAGCCCGAAGCAGAAGCAGAGAACGTCAGAGAGCCCAGATAGAGTGAAGATTTGCTGGGGGCTGGGAGGACTGCCAGCCTCCCAGCACCCCTGCCTGCCATATGTCTGGTGAACCCCAATAAAAGACCTGCAAAAAACCGCTGAGGACTCTGACTCCTCCTTTACCCGGTCTGCATGGGATCAGAAAACCTGCCCCGTGTCCAGTCCTGCCCCTACACTTGCTCACTCGGGCTCACTGGACTCACTCACTTGGACTGGACACTTGCTCACTCAGACTGGATATTCTCAAACACTTCCAGCAGCTGACCTCCAAAGGGAGAAGATGAAAAGCTTCAGAGAAGCCAAAGAGCTTTGCAGAGGTTTGGATGGTGTAGGGGCAGGAATGGCCACAGAGCAAGTTTTCTATGATCCAGCAGATCGGGTAAAGGAGGAGTCCTGGAGCCCTCAGGGGCTTTTGCAGGCTTTTATTGGGATTTACCAGGCACACAGCAGCCAGGGGTCCTGGGGGGCCGGGAGGCTAGCAGACCTCCCAGACTCGAGCAAGTATTCACTCGGGGCTCTCCAGCCCTCTCACGTTCTCTCTGCTCTTTTCATGGCTCTGCTTCTCTTTCGGCTTCTCTGCTCCTCCTGGCATCCCCGTGAAACCGCCCTTAAAAGCCCAGTCTTGGCCCAGGTGAATCCCATCTACCTATGCCCACACCCTACTCCAGGTGCCTGCCATCAGGCATGCATTCGGGACCACAGGGTTCCATATGATACTTTTTACCTTACCCCACAGTCCACCCCCTCAGGGTTTTCTGCCATACAATCTACACATACACAATTTTGTTTCTTAGCAAACATAAACAATGCAGCCATGGCCCACAAAAGCAAATACATCACAATATAACAACAAAATACAACAGAACACAAATAAGTTCAGGCAGGGCCCCAAACTAGTGGCAAAAGACAATTATTGGCACCAGCAGATAATCCACCACTTCTGCTGCTGAAGGCACTGCTCATACGAGGGAGGGGAACCACTCACAGCATCTGCCATAACACATCAGGAGCTGCCAGGCTTCCTGCCCTTCTCTGGCTGTAGTCTCAGCTATAAGCCACACACAGCATCCACCCCCAGGATGCACTCACTCTGGGATTGGTGATTCTATACTGTTGGGGGTAATCGCCAACCCTCAGGGTTTCTGTCTGTGGTCACTCCAACACTCGGCCTTCATAGCCACCAATGCGACACGCAGACCCCTGCACAAGCACATGGGTCAGAGATCCAAACTCCACATGTGGCCTCTCTTGGGTCCCCTCTTGGGCTTGGACTCCACCCCAAGTCACGTTCCCCATCTGTCCCCCAAGGATGGTTTCCTCAGATCCTCACCCTCACTCAAGAACGAGCAGGGCGTCACCCACAGGTGATTTTACGAGACTCACTGGCCTTCCTCAGCTTACTTAGTGCTTAACAGTTACTCAGGGCTTCCCAAACTTAGCATCAGCACCAGCTTTTGCCTTTTCAGTTGGCTTTTCTCCTCTGCCTAGCTGCTGGGCATACACAGGCTGCTTTTGGCCACCGAGGCCCACAGGCCACCCCCAGATTCCCATCTCTCGGGGTGTACAAACGAAACTGTTCCACCCCCAGGGTCCCAAAACATATCAGCCTGCAAGTTCCTCCGCCTTCTGGCGGGATTGTCAGTCCAACTCCATTAGTCCAAGTCTATCAGGCCTCTCCCTGCATCAGCACTGGCGAGCTCCCAATCATTGGGTCCTTTCTTTCCCCAATGATTCTGCTGCCTCTGGGGTCCTTGGCTGTTCCTCTCGGGCTGCCTCCTTCACAGGAGATCTCGTCCTGTAGCTCCCGGAACTTGTCCATCTCCTGTGCCTCCATGACGCCTCCAGTGTTGTCATAGGCTTTTGATCTCCTACTCCTCAGTCCTCCAGGTCTTTGGAGGGCTCCATACCTGTCTGATTGGATCATCTTGCTGACTTACACCAAATGTAGAGGCAGGAATGGCCATGGAGCAGGTTTTATGATCCAGCAGACTGTGGTAAAGGAGGAGTCCTGGAGCCCTCAGTGGCTTTTACAGGATTTTATTGGGATTTACCAGGTACATGGCAGGCAGTGGTGCGGGGGGGCCGGGAGGCTGGCAGGCCTCCCAGCCC